TGTAGACAGCATCACTGACAATAATGAGTTCTATAGTATTTTGTCACGCTGCTCGCGTTCAGTGTAGACAGCGTCACTGACTATAATGAGTTCTATAGTATTTTGTCGTGCCACGCCGCATCCAGTGTAGACAGCATCACTGACTATAATGAGTTCTATAGTATTTTGTCGCGCTGCTCGTGTCCAGTGTAGACAGCGTCACTGACTATAATGAGTTCTATAGTATTTTGTCGCGCTGCTCGTGTCCAGTGTAGACAGCATCACTGACTATAATGAGTTCTATAGTATTTTGTCGCGCTGCTCACGTCCAGTGTAGACAGCGTCACTGACTATAATGAGTTCTATAGTATTTGGCGCGCCACGCCGCATCCAGTGTAGACAGCGTCACTGACTATAATGAGTTCTATAGTATTTTGTCACGCTGCTCGTGTCCAGTGTAGACACGGTCTACACGACAAGGGCCTCATTCAGCTGTTATCATGACTGTCTGTACAGTATTTTTGAATAAAGAGATTTGTTTTTTGTCTGCTTGTATTTCTCAGTCATATCATGAAAGATTGATTCAGTGCACTTCAACAATATTTGCTCTATTTTTAGCAATATGTTTCCAAATGTGTGGCCTTTTTATCTGACATTTCCCAGTTAACGTATCTTTATCTTTATTTAAATTAATTAATTTCACATTTATTTTGCTATATATACTTTGTTTTAATGCCTCTAGTTTCCATTGTCAATATGTATATAATTGCATATATGCAATAATAAACATCAAGGTCATGTTCAAATAAGCTATCATAAATTACAAACATAAGTGCATTTTTGTACATTTGGTTTTTACAAACATCCAACCTTTATAGTATTATTATTATTATTATTAATGTTATCATTATTATTATTATTAAGTATAACGTCTACAACATATGGTTATTGTTCTAAAAAATGAAAAAGTGTTGCCTTAAATCCCTAAAAGGGGTTGTTGTTTTTGTTTTGTTTGTTTGTTTTTGTATTACAGTAGTTATCGATAGACATGTACAACAGATTTGTTTTTAATAAATAGCACTTTAATACAAAAAATGTAATAAAAAACCTTTACAAAGAGATTTAAAAGATGATGGGTTGCTGCTTAGAAACCACACAAACTTTGACCCCAATGGGAAATTACAGTAAATACACCCTACTTCCTTTATCTGGATGGTTTTAGACCATTTAACCTAATTTGCACCGCTGCTCTTGTATGTATCTGTTTATAGTTAATGATTCACTTGATTAATTTATTGTTGTAATACATTGCATGTTTTGTTCTGCAGTCAATTGTGTAACAGGTAAGTTTGTTTTAATATTTCCAGACTGGAGGTATGTTGTCTGCTCACTGAAACAGCTGAACATGTTTTATTCTTTGGCAGACAATCTTGGAAAAACTGGCACAAAAACTATTATGTTTACAATATGTATAGCCATAGCTTTAAAGAAAAAGGTAGGTACAGCAATCTTGATTTTTGGAGCAATATGCTTCATGGCATTGTTCACATGACTCACAGGTCACCTGACAGTTCAAACATGACCCACGTGCTGCAGAGCATGCAGTGGAGATAAAACGGAAACAACCAGTATTACTAGTTACACTGCATCACAGAAAGCCCTGATAATTCTTCTGACTTTAGGTTGTTTTCCCACAGCAAAAGAAAATATTGCACAGATATTCATTGTTCAAATGAGCTCGTTTTTATCAAATCAAATCCTGCATTACGAACCTCGTCTTTTGACAGGAAGTTACGTTTTGTCTATTTACAACTCTAAAATTAAAACCTTCATATTTTTTAGCTTAAAAGTGCAACTGGCAAGCACAATCAATAACTGTTGTAAACATGCAAAGTACTTGTAAAAGTAAGAAAAAGACTGGCGTAACAAGTGTACCACACGCGCAACTACACTCTTAAAAATAAAACGTTTTTTTGCCATAGAAGTACCTATTTGGGTTCCCCAAAAAAGCTTTCAGTGAAAACTCCTAAAAAACAAACCATTTCTTCTAAAGAACCCTACAAATCTAAACAATGACAATACAAATCTTTTGTTCAATGGAAAGGTTCCATGGATGTTAAAGGTTCTAAATGGAACCATTAGTGACGACAAAGAACCTTAATTTTCGAGAGTGCAGTTGTTCAAACATCTATCAGGTCTTTAACAGTGGTTACCGCTCAGAAAATGTTCACAGTATGTACCAAGCTAATAATTTCACAGATCAGCATCATAAGGTCTTCCAGTGTAGGATGTGTTGACGGATCCCATATCTCGGGGTTTGGCTCTTGGGAAGTCCAGGTCATCGTCTAGTGACTTCTGCGAGTACGGCACGCTGCTTTCAGTGTTCCTGCTGAAGTTTCTCGGTACGTTGACCCTTGGCAGAGGCGTCGGTCTGTTCGCCGGCCGTTGTGTGTTGGTTCGAGGCTTTTCTCCGCGGTTGTGTCCACCGCAGCAGGAGCAAATCCCGAGGAACATCACAAAACCCCCGAGGACCTCCAGGATGCCTCCGATGTAGCCCAAAATGATGCAGTATCCCACACGAATGTCATCCGCTCTGGCTGGGTCTCTTTTGACGGAGGTGGAATTGAGGCTGGTGAGGAGATGAGTGTACCACGCAATGGGAATGATGGTCAGGGCTCCGGAGCAGAAGATAAGGAGGCCACCCAAAGAAGCCAGTATCCATCTGGGTCTGTCCTTCCAGCATCTGACTCCGGGTGTTGCCACCGCCAGGCCGAGCACTGTCACAATCAACGACGCGACCATCATTCCTTTAGCGATCGGAATGATCTGGTTGCTAAAATACGTTTGGTCGTTGCTTTGTTGGTTGCACTGTTGGGATCTAGACGTTGTGGAGGTCCTGCAGATGTCCCAGATTCCCTGTTCCACCACCAGATCCGTAGGCTCGTTTGCCAGGCTGTGGATGGTGCGCCAGTTGGGCGCGACCGTGCTGGTAAGGTTCAGGATCCATCCGCAGGGGGCCAGGACCATGCCGAATATCAGGATCCCCGGAGTCCGCATGGTTGAGGGTTGAGCTGCTGTCTGCTTCTGAAGCGAGTCGAGTGTGTCTGGTGCTTAAGAAGAAACATACTGAAACTTGGAGGAGGTGGATCCGTCTGATAAGCATCTGAAGGGTGTGGTGTCGAATGTCTGGTTCAAACACAGACAAAACTGGTTTTCGCTGCATGCCGTGTTTCAGCCGAACCTGGAACACCAGTATGCAGGGCTAAGGGATAAATAGAAGAGACTGGGGCAAGTTGTCACAAAGAAAAGTTGTTTATACTGGAGTAACAATGAGGTTTCAGGTCAAAAGTTAATCTGCATAAAGTTTTGTTCAATCTAGCAAGTTGTATATGTTGGTTTCAATCACCTAGTACAAAACTCTCTTGAAACAATGTTTCACTTTTTGTCTCTAATTCACACACTTATGCCTTTTCATTTTATACAGTACATTAATTTAGTTGATAATTGGCCAAATAGTGTTTCATATTTTTATGATATGCATTTTGTCTTGCGGTTTCTATCTTTTTTTTTTTTACTTTTTGGTTTGTTTGTTTGTTTCGCAAGCCATCATATGGTCAGTAATAATAAATGTTATAATGAAAAAAGTTATCATGCTGATGACTTATACATTGTACATTCAGAATATACGCTTATAAAGAAAATTAAATATTAAAAGCAATGTAAAGTCACATTTAAAAACAGCAAGAAGAGGACAATATTTATTATAAGAATGCATAAAGTTGTACTCAACATTTCTTCAAAATGAATGATTTTAACTTATTTTTTATTATAGTAATTATATGAGGGCAGGTGTTCACCCATCACAATCATAAAAATACATAAATATAAACAGCCTTCAATCATTTGCGTCAAATTTGGTGCGTGGATGTCAATTACGATATTAACATTCACAAAAACGTCCACAAAGATATATCTGGCATATCATTCTGTCTATCGTAAACACCAGTGACATACATTTCTGCAAACATTCAAAGCCTATCCTGTGTGCAGTGGTTGTGCAAAGATTAGCTTCCTTCAGAAGAATGTATTTGCTTTTTGTAGTTGATATAACTGTACAAACTTAAGAGGTTCCTAATAAGTTACATATTTACACATCAGAGCCCAAAGTACTACAAAAAGACATTAAGGTACTGTTACTACAATGATGAGGGCCTCACAATATAAAATGCAACGTATAAAAGCAAACAAATGGTGTTAGTGCTCTTCAGTATAACTTCAAAACCTTGCCAGGTCCAATATTTATAATGGTAATGATGATGGTTTCAGCTAAAGTGCTATAGCCGAGTAGTTGACATGACCGATAACATCCATGATAATACAGGTGGTAAAACAAAAGGTCACATGATGATTTACAGTTAATCAAAATAGCGTTTCCGTGAACCACGGCTAATAAAAACATATAGACAGTACACACTATACTGTTCAACGTGAACTAAACATCCTAAAATGTAACATTAAACACATGACTTGCAATAAAATTAAGTATAAACAACTATATAAACTTTGGGCCACTTCCTTTTACAGTGACTCTATGTTTTACTTAGAACAATGTCATTTTTCATTGTAAAATATAAGGCACTTATAAAAACTAAGAAAACATATTGCCTCAGAAAAATCTAGTTAAAGTTGCTCAATATATTCCAGTTTACTCAGAAGCCCATTTATGAAAACTTGGATATACTAAGTAACCGTAACTAGATTTCTCAGTTTAATATGTTTGCAATATGTAAACAAAATGAAATGTACAGTGTACAAAATACATAGGCCTATTTTTCCAGTTTTACAGTCAATTATAAATCTAATATAATATTCAAGGAATAACCAGACACTATAGACAGAACTGTCATCAAAAAAGAAACGGTCTGTTTCCATCTGATCGATAAACTGGTAACTATAAGCACTTTAACCACTGATCTATAATAGATCTATAATATATTTCAGTTATTTTAACGCGGTAAACGACGGTTGCCATGGTGATTTTCGTGCGGATTCTGGCGTGCAGTTTGTTCACAAGATTAAAAGTTCTTTCACAAATCTGTGTCGTACGGTCGTGCTTTATAAGCAGTGCTATTCGCTGGTCTGCTGTCCTGTTGTCTCTTGGCTCGTGCGAAGTCCATCTCACTTTGTTTGGAGTAATACGGGACGCTGCTGCTGATGCTGCTGCCGCTGATGCTGCTGATGCTGGGCACCGTGACTCTGTGCGGTGGAGAGGGGTCGCGCGTGGACTTCACCGCGAATGCCCTCGGCCTTTCATCGCGCTTCCGACCGCCACAGCGCCGACACAAGCCGATGGACATCACCAGTCCTCCGAGAACCTCCATGATGCCGCCGATGAAGCCCAGCACCAGGCAGTATCCCACACGAACATCGGTGGATGCGGAGAAGATAGAGGTCATGATGTGAGTGTACCACGCCACTGGGATGATGGTGAGGACCCCTGAGATGAAGATGAGGAGACCTCCGATCCCAGCGACCGTCCAGTGCGGGTTCTCAGTCCAGCATCGGACTCCGACTGCTGCCACGCCGATGGCAATGATATTGAGAATGAGCGACGACAGCATCAGACCTCGCGCGATCTGGATGATCTGAGCGCTGAAGTACTGCGTGTCCTGCTGGTTGCACTGAATATCCCGGGACGATGTGAAAGTTCTGCAGATGTCCCATAATCCTTGTTGGAGAACCAGGTCGCTGGATTCCCCCGGGATGTTGTTGATCGTGCGCCAGGCTGGTGCCACGGTGCTGGTCAGCTCCAGAATCCACCCGCAAGGCGCGAGCACCATCCCGAAAATAAAAATCCCAGGAGTTCGCATGATGATGCACTTGGGAGATCACAAAAATAGCCCTGCTGGGAATGATGGGTTTGTTTCCGGTTGTTTTAAACAAGTAGCCGGAGAGCAGAAACTTCTCGTGGGAGGATCCCATAAAATCTGGCTATTGTTGAAAGTCACGTGACTGTCTGCGCTTGTCGCTCCGAGTTTCGACAGCCTTGTCCTGGCGCACCTGTAGAGCCCCGCCCACTGGCTGTTACATCACGAGCGCTGGAGGAGAGACTCTGGTGCTGATGGTGACCATATAGCGAAGAAATCATTTGTTCATAAAGTAATACAGTTGATAAATGATTGGTATATGTTTCTTCATTTTATATGGCATATTTTTTTCTACTGCTCAACTTTTAAATTAAACAAGTCCCAGTGTATATGTATTATGCTAAAATAATTGGGTAACATTTTACAATAAGGTTCATTAGTTAACATTAGTTAACTAGTTAACATGAACTAAGAATGAACTTCTACAGCATTTATTAATCTTAGTTCATGTTAATTTCAGCATTTACTAATGCATTATTAAAAGTTTAAAAACGTTGTCCCCATCAACCAGTGCTTGTCTTGTTTTCTGTCTACTTTACTCTGCAATCAAAATGTATCTTTTGAGTGCATACCTCAATTTATGCTGCATTAAAACTCTGTAACAGGGTTATTAACTGAAACTAAAACCACAAAAAAATGTTAGTGAAATAAAATAAATGTTAAAATAAAATTTAATCTAGTTGCGAAGGCAACATTTCTCATTTTCGTTTAGTTTAACTTGATGTACTAAAATAACTAAAACTGGAAAAAAAAAAATTAGGGGGAAACAAACTAATAAGTCCCCACCAGGATATATAAACCAGTACACACACACACACACACACACACACACTCACACACACACCGGGGGGAAATTATGTAGAAACAATTTTTCTCAGAAATTGCTGTCACAAAGAATCTACACACTGAATTAAAAAATAAAACAGAAAGACTGACATATTGTTTTCTTGTACGCACTCCACTAATCTTTGTTTTATTTACAACTTTTAGAAATCATTAAATCCTTACAGTGCGCAACAAACCAATTAATTTAACATTAACAACAACTATAATAGTACCTCAATGGTTTTAAAATAACACTGCTCTAGAGTTTTTGCTGCTTGAAATGCATTAAGTGCTGCATTGTGAACATGTCAGGTTTGACACGTCATCATTTTCTGTTCAGGTTGTTGCATCATTTTGGAAACAGAAATGTGGATGGAAAGCGTGTTTGAAATGACATCCTGCACATACAGTAACAGTCCCTCTGAAACTACAGCCGTTCCCTGACCACGCCTCTAAATGAAGCTATACACTGCTTTCTGTTTAATCATTCTTTCCTATTTCACTGCTAATCTGCTGACAGAATCAAGACATTTGGATGACAGAATATTATGATTATTTCGTTCCCTGCCTAAAATGCCGGCTTAAACCATGTCTAAGTTGCTTTGTTGTAGTTGGCTTGTATAAGATAGTATATCTGGTTACCCAGCCTGGCCAACAGGTGTTAAACTGATTAGGCTGAAGACCAGTCAGAGCAGAGGAAACCCATTTGCCAGCTTAAACCAGCAAACCACCTCATGCTGGTCTTTTCAGCAGGTTTCTTTCTTGCTTTCTGACTGCCTTGTTCTGTTTTGCACAATTAGATGTTCATATAAATGTCTCCATAATGCATTTGTGAGTTGCAAAACAAAGTCAACACAGCCTTTGCTCCTACTGAGCTCCACCTAGATGACTCCACCCATATTTTGACAGATCATCATGGAATGTGGTTTGGAATGAAGATAAACCTGGCTAAGTAGTCTCAGCATCGTCATACCTATAGTCTAATGTTATACTGAAACAAATATCATTTCCATTTAAGAACTATGATCATTTGCTCTGAAAGTATAGCATTCTGTCGCAATTCATTCTTTTTATTTATTGATTTATTTTGATATATTCGAACGTTTCTCTGAAAGTTTAAGAATTCTCTATTTAACTTAGATTTGCTTCCACCTAGTGGTGGGTTTTAGTCATAACACCCTTTACACTTCTAGTCTCTTACGTGGTTTACATATCATACCTCGATCATCTGTTTATCTTTGGTGCCATTACAGCCAATATTTGTGTATTTTAATAACATCTGCCTCATGAGCATATTTTCCCGTCTGTTTATTTGCTCATCTGACATGACCCATTATAGGAGGTCACAGTGGACCGGAGGCGTGCTCTCTTCTTGTCACTCACATCATGTGTTACAGTGCGATAGAGAACAGTCGCAGCGTTGCACGTGGAAAGAGGAAGGAAAATGAAGATGCACTTTTTAACGGCGGTGATATTAGCAGGTATGTTTAAAATGGTTTTTTTTCTGTTATTATTATTATTTATAAGTTATGAACAACATACATAGGCTACGTAGCCTGCTCATTATATCCATCCAAATTATTTAATAGGCCTTTAAATTTAAATGACAATCTTCTGTTGTAGCCTAGTTATGAGATATGTGTAATATTAAATAGTACACTAATAATGCATTCAAAACACGTGCTACTAGTGCGCTTTGAGGACGATGTGCAGTATGTGTAACTCATGAATACATGTTGCTTTAGTTTTTACAAGGCGTAAGCCAATTTATAAAAGCTAAAAATGACTGAACTAACGTGTAACTACTAAACAAAAGCGTTTCCTGTTTAGGAAATAGTTTCAGTTTTATGATGAGGGAGTGTTTTGTTGACAGTCATAGTTCAAAAATGCATTCACTGTATTACCACCAGTATATTATGCGTGGCTTGTTGTGTGACATGAAGGTTGGATGATATTTGGAGGCAGCACAATGAGCACTGCACCACCAGCAGCTACAGTTACAGCTGAAACTACACATGTAGCGACATCACCTTCACAAACGCACGCAACATCAGCAAATACCACTGAGGCACAAACGACGACTGAATCTGTCTCCACGATCCCCAGTACAAGTGAAACAACAGCTGGGTCCTCAGAAAACGTGAGCATGAGCACTACGAACAGCTCCACACAAACTCAGACAACAACAAATGCAACCTCGGACTATAACGCTACCTCTGCAGCGACTGAGCTCACCAGCGCAGTTTACAACGAGACCACAATCACATCGAGTTCGGTGAATGAAACTCAGGCAACATCCTCTTCAGAGAGTCTTACCTCACAGAAAACAACTCTGGGAAGCACAGATACGGTTATTACTACTGACAAAAGCACACCTACAGCGACAGTTACTACGATTACAACGGTGGCCTCTACTTCTACATTAACACCAACAACAATAAAAGCAACAGAAAACACGGCAACATCCGTAACTAAACCCACAGATTCTGTTGACGAAGAAAAGAAGCACACAGAGGCCCTGAGCTCAGGTATGTGTGTAAATATTTTAATTTTATTGCAAAAAATGTAATATTTTAATACAGTATGTTTATATAGAGATGAAAGTTTTGATTGTTGTTTGACCTTCTGCTCCAGATCTTAAGTATAGGCCAAGTGTGTACCCTATTTCATTTCCTCATGAGACTTTATCAATTGTTACCTATATGGTTTCATAAATAGGGCCACTTTATTCAACCTAATTTACTGAGGTTAACCACTTCAGTATTTTCTGAAGCGTCCCTAAAAGAGGTTTTGATTGAAATGTTGGCATGACATTCATTAGCTGAAAATCAGCAAATTGCAACCCTGTTGCTCATTAAGCCTGTAATAAAACTATATTGTCAGATTCCAACGTTCTTGGATATCGATCAAGGTCAGAGATGTGTCGCAACAGGTTAATGTTTTCAGAAACTGGATTTGTTATTTTGGACACATCCAAAGCACTGTTTCCCAAACACTTTAGGAGTGGCCGAAGTTAATATTTAATACAGTAACTGGGTGATTGAACCATTAACAGTTCGCTAGACCTTTCCTATAAAAGTTCAATTGTTCCTCACCCTTTTCATAAGCATCTATGAGGTGTTTGTACTTTGTACTGCGTTGATGACTTTTGTTCACAGCAAATTTAAATCAACTCTGCTCAAGAGTACATATTGTCCCAATCTACAGAGTGTTAAAGTAACACTGAAGCAGAGTTACCACTGTTGAGGAGTATGTGATACGTTTTCATGTCTAAAAGCCTGAGCAGTAGTTGTTCATCTTCAACATTGTTAACAGCAGGTTTTCTTTACTAATGTTCACTCATCAATTAATTAATTGCTTAATTATCGCATTAACTTTAACTCTGCTTCAGTGTTACTTTAACACTCTGTCGATTGGGACAATATGTACTCTGAGCAGAGTTGATTTAACTCGGGGGATTTTGCTGTGTTGAATGACAGCTAAGTGTCATTAACTGGGATGTTTTGGAATTTGAATGAGAACTTTCTGGAAAAGCAGTGGCCGAAAATGATAGTGACATCTGGACACAACCCTGATAAAACTGTTGGAACGTCTTAACAAGTGTTCAAACTGAACAAGTAGCTCATTACTTTGAGCTAACTGCTGTAGCAGTGATTTTCAGTGGATGTATGAAGTCAGTTGTCCTCATTTTATCATTTCAAACCTGACAAACTTCTTTTTGTGAAACAGTTCAATTGAAAAGTGTGTGTGTGTGTGTTATCTTTCTTTAAAATAAATTACTCTTTAATAATTTGTTATCTAATGCATTGACATTCACATTTTTAGCGTGTCTTCATCTAACGTATCTAAATACATTTTTGAGCCACTGTATGTGAAAAGAAATATTTTTACACTCAGTTTGATTTGTCTTTTCAGTACACTGAATATACAGTTGCTTTTATGTGTTTTGCTTGATAGGAAGTATAAATAATGCAAAAATACAGCTATTTTTCTAGTAATATACTTGAAATAGCTTTGTCATGTATGATTCATCAAATTAAATCTTTTCCTTATTACTTTCTAGGAAGTGTCGCTGCCATCGTAATTGGCGTCGTTGCCATTGTACTAATTTTACTTGTTGGTGCGTACTACTTCAAAATTCGGTGAGTCAAGCATCAAATGCAGTTATTTGTAGTTACGGTATCTTCCTCTAATTTTCTTTCAACGCATTTTAGGTTGAATCTCAGAAAAAAATATAACCTTAACCCTATATGTATATATATACAAAAAAATGAAACAGTCCTATATCTTTGTAAAAACTTTATCTTTGTCTTTAGAGATGGATGGATGGATGGATGGATGGATGGATGCATTGTACTAATTTTACTTGTTGGTGCGTACTACTTCAAAATTCGGTGAGTCAAGCATCAAATGCAGTTATTTGTAGTTACGGTATCTTCCTCTAATTTTCTTTCAACGCATTTTAGGTTGAATCTCAGAAAAAAATATAACCTTAACCCTATATGTATATATATACAAAACAATGAAACAGTCCTATATCTTTGTAAAAACTTTGTCTTTGTCTTAGAGATGGATGGATGGATGGATGGATAGATAGATAGATAGATAGATAGATAGATAGATAGATAGAGATAGAACGATAGATAGATGGATAGATGGATGGATGTATAGATAGATAGATAGATAGATATATAGATAGATAGATTGGATAGATATAGATAGATAGATATAGATAGATAGATAGATAGATAGATAGATAGATAGATAGAACGATGGATGATGGATGGATAGATAGAGATATATAGATAGAATGATAGAACAATAGATAGATGGATGGATGGATGGATATAGATAGATAGATAGATAGAACAATAGATGGATGGATGGATGGATGGATAGATAGAGATAGATAGATAGATAGATAGATAGATAGATAATAGATAGATAGATAGATAGATAGA